GTACGGCCAGATAGCCATCTCGGATCCCTAGAAATGGAATTTTTGCTGCGCTGGCCAGGGCACATCATTGGTCGGGGATTTTGGTAGAGTCCGTACGACCCCCCCCCTCCTAGGGATGACTTGATGCGCCCCTCCCTAGTTCCCTCCTCCGATATGTATGTACGATCGAGCTGGTGAGCGGGCATGGGGTATAGCATATGTGAAAAGCAAAAAGTCAAGTCAAAAATTTTCCCATGAGCTCTCTCAGAAGGCAAGTACGACACCCACCCCACCCCTCCTCCCCTTTACAACGTATCTGAAACAAGAAAACTCAACTAGGAAAAGAAATTTCTTAAGACACACTGAGACCCAGTGACCAAATACGACCCTCCTGCTGGGGAATATCTAGGAACGATGTGCCCTGGGTGGCAACCAAGGAAATTCCTACAGCATGGGAAACAAGAAAAAACCAACATTCAGGGAAAATTTTCTTCACGCCAAGCACTACCTCACTCCCTTCCAGCAGCTAGATACAAGCCCTAATGGGGATCGTCTCGGTATGCGGCATGCCATACGAGTCTTCTGCGAAAATTGTTACAGTCGGCAACTATGGCGAGGGTTCCGGCTATGAATGTTAAAATTTTAGGGCTGCAGTAGTTAAAATCAGCATGGTAAGCCATGCGCTGAGATCCAAAGAGTAAAAGAACTAGCTGAAAAATGAACATTTCTAGGAGATTCACAGAGCTTGAAAAAAGGCGAGATATCCATAAAAGGAGTTTTGATGCTATGAAAGTCATTTCCAGAAACGACGAGAAAGAAGGTCGTGCACCATGGCGACACGACTCGGTTTTTTTTCAAAATAGATTCAGCTCTTGGATAAAAGGATTTTTTTAATAGCTCAAAAAAGGTCCAGCAGATTCTGTCATAAGGGAAAAACAGCCTAACGGGGATATCTGAAGGATAGTATGGAACGCTATGGCGCTAACATGCTGTCAACAAAATGACATGTATGTGTGAGGAGGAGGAGGAGCGAGAGACTCGTTGCTCCCTCAATCACGTCACTTCCAAGTCTGACACCACAATACCTAACTAACTAACTGTTCAAGCTTTGCAGCGCTTGGTATTCCTGGAAGTCCAGGGCCTCTCATTTCCTAACTGGAATGGTTAGGATGAGCGAGTCACATCTTCATCAAAGAAACTATAGCGGGTGCCATCTGAATACAGTTATCCTTTTTCTACTGTCCTATTTTCTGCAGTTATGGGATCTTTCAGCTGAACAAGTATATCCACTGCTTTGCCCCGAATAGCTCTGAAAGCGGTGTGCCGCGCGGTCCAGACCGGTCAGTTGGTTGCTCATGGTCCAGTCTTTATACATTCCACAAACACAGCTTACTACGGTAAGGCTACGTTTATACTTTGCGGCAGCGTAGCGCTTCCAGCGTTTCACTAGCGTTTGCCAGCGGCGGGGCTAGAGAGTATAGAAGAGTAGGAGAGTATTTTGTACTCTTACTCTTATACTCTCTAGCCCCGCCGCTGCAAAGCGCTAGCGAAACGCTAGTGAAACGCTCGTGAAACGCTGGGAGCGCTAGATCGATAGCTATGCTTCCCGTGCCCTCGCTACGCTAGCGTACGCTGGTGACGCTGGGAACGCTAGATCGATATCTATCCTTTCCCCGACACTGCCGCTGGCGTACGCTGGAAGCGCTACGCTGCCGCAAAGTATAAACGCAGCCTAACTGCAGAGCCCTGGTCACACTTTCACCCTAGACTGGTTCCTTCCCTTCCTTCCTACCCTTTCTCGGATTGTTCCCATACTCTCTGTGACCGACCTCGGAACGATGCTATCATTTCTGGCAGCGTTATTTCTATTGAGTGAACGGGACTTCCGTGTAAAAAACGCGTAGGATGAGCTGCCATACTTTTCGGATACCAAGTACTCCAAATCCCAGAGATGGAATGGGCGGGCTGCATGTTTCATTCTTGACAGGGCGTATAATTAGTCATTCGTCAAATATTTCGGTTTGATAAAAATTCCATCTTGTCTTGCGTTGTACAAGGTCTTGAGTAAAGCTGTCCCAAATTAACAAGACCCCTCCAAAAGAGCACGTTCACATGAGGTAGTCAGCCACGCCTACTGCATCTCCGAGATTTAGAATATACGCGTTTGAAAGAATAAGTGCGTGGACCTGTCTTGCAGTGGAAGTCACAGGGAAACAGTCATTGGTACAGGCAAAACCACAGGGTAGTGGTGTATCATACTAGAGCGGGAACAATCAAATATGGCGAATGTTGAAAGGTTTCCCAGAGAGAAGCCTTCAAAAACTCCGAAGCATTCCGGTGAGATCATTGCCATCTTCTTCTTAAATTTCAATGATTTTATTCGGAGCACGCTTAGATGGACAATTTTTGCAGCACATTCGCTAGCCGAGAGGATAAAGCCTGACATGCCCCGAGTCCTGTCTAGAAGAGCTCTACCAACCTTCTATCCATCCACTACTCTAGCTGGTTCTACAACTGACCATTTGTTTGCCTTTTTCGCCCCTACTTTAAATGCAGAGCTCCTACTCCCTTCCATACATGCAGGGGCGCCGCAAATATCCGGCTAGCAGATGGTTTTGACAGCAGCTTTGCCCGGGCTAGCGCTAAAACCACAACAGCAATAGTCTTTGTGTATGAACAGAAATCGTAGGCTCAATCCTGTTTTGAGGCGAACGGTGAGGGTATTTTGTGAAACTGGCTACAAAATCTTTACCTCGCTACATATTTTTCACAGAAATGTAGTATACAGTCCATATGGGAATGCAAAAAGAGGCGTCTCAGAACAAATTTTCACAAAGGCTGACTCCCCCAAAATCGCCTTATTGACTGGTCTTCCCCTACCCTTTCCTACCAACCATTTTCCTAAAATCTCTTATTTTCCTACTGCAACGCGTGAGTTTTTTTAACTCTGTAATTTTCCCCAGATACCTGCCGTCAAGGGAGGGAAGAGGGGCCACAGTAGAGTCATTCTTGATCATTCTAATTCAATCTTTCCATTGGAGCCCCTTGTCCCAAGCACAGAACAAATGTTCTGTGCTTCGAAGTCCTGCGCACCCATTATCGGGTGGCCTTTGCCTCCTCAGCACGCGCCCACACCATCATAGTTGATGATCGCGTGGTTTAAGATTGAATGGAGCCATCTACGTGACCGCCGCGGCATTCTCGTATCTGACTTGAGTCCATCCACAGGCCCATCACAGCGTACTCATTTCAGCGGACTAGAGCTGGATCGTCAATCTTGCTGATAGATCAGCATTCGCTGCCGTAGGGCATCGCACGCACTATCACTGCCCGTTAGACTTTGCCTTTGAGCGTCCCGAAGATGACGGTGGACTCCCTCCATCCCATGTAAGCTGCATAGATTAGAGTGTTTATCGCCTTTTCCACCCTGTCACTAGTTGCTATGTCGCCTCGCGGTCGATCTCCAATTACCAGAAGAATTGTACAAATAGATCTAAGCATATTGGAAACACAGGACCTCCTTTCCTGTGTTTCCAATAGCCTCCTAGATGTAATAAAAACAGCTTGTTAGGCAGTCAGAGTAGCTCGCTTCCATGCCACACTGAGGTGAAAAGGTTCTTACACATCACAAAGAGAAATCAAAGATTTACTCAATCTTCTTTGTGAATGATAGAATGAAACTCGTCCAGTCGTTTATTGCATAGACGACGTTTCGGGCTTTAAGCCCTTCTTCAGGTCTACAATCATCACATTCAAAGCCTACACCAACATCATCTAACTTTACAAACACAGGCAAGGAATTCAAAGGGGAAACAATCAACAATAACTGACCGGATTCCTGTGGGAGGGAGGGTCGGTCGGGGCGGGTGGGAGATCCGGGAATATGCTGCAAGATGGTCTCTGATGTTGTGACAAACAGTAATACGCAACAATGACTCACCGTCCCAGCTGTCCTTTCCTTCAGAAATGGCACAGCTAGATTGGTGAAGCAGTGGTGGGATGTTGATACACTGCTATTTGTCATATGTCACGTATCACCGTTATGTCACATCATTGTGCAGCAATCATTTCCATTGTCCTTCTTAGCTCCTCCCTGCTGTTGATCGGTGGATTCCTCCGGATTTCCAGCGCTTCTTTTATTTTCCTCTCCACCGGGTCACTTATGTTCCTGTATATCACGCGCACCTTGAGTTCAGGTGCACGTTCATTCGTGTGGCGCGAGGAACGATGCCTCGAGAAAGGGTTATCCGGATAGCTGGCTGGGTTCCGGAAGCCCTTAGATGTTCATCGAGCCTTTTGTAGAGTGGTCGTCCAGTTTCTCCGATGTAGAATTCCGAACATGACGCACACTCCACTTCGTACACGGTGTTCTTCAAAAGGCAAATCTTTCGTTCCTCCTGGCAGTAAAGACAGTTTTCGCGGCCACATTGGTCTTCGTATACTCGTGACGACGTAAGAAGACGACGTAGCGTTGGCGGCGGTCGAAATATCAAGCGGATCGGCATCCCTGAACTCCTTACAACTCGATTGACATCCTTCGCGAAGGAGTCTGAGAGAAAAGGAATTATCAGTGGAACGCCTCCTGGTGCCTGATACGGGAGCCAACAACCATCTTGCAGCATATTCCCGGATCTCCCACCCGCCCCGACCGACCCTCCCTCCCACAGGAATCCGGTCAGTAATTGTTGATTGTTTTCCCCTTTGAATTCCTTGCCTGTGTTTGTAAAGTTAGATGATGTTGGTGTAGGCTTTGAATGTGATGATTGTAGACCTGAAGAAGGGCTTAAAGCCCGAAACGTCGTCTATGCAATAAACGACTTGACGAGTTTCATTCTATCATTCACAAAGAAGACAAGGCAATGAAGCTCAGGAATCCTCTTATATTACATGATTTACTCAATCTGTTTATCATCATCCTAATCGCAAAATACGAATGTTCACTTTGGGTAATTTAAGTACCGGCATTCTTCACCCTTTCCCGGAAGCCCGGCTAAGTCATTACAATCGATGTCTTCGAATTCCTAATGGTTCACAATATACAAATATGCTTTTTTATCCATCCGTCTTTTGTTCATTTTGCGGATCATACGGCTCTGATTTGTTCTGTTACTTCTCTCACGTCCTTCACATTCTTTCTTTATGTCGGTCGGCATGAACTGCAGGCTGCGATTCTCGAACACCTGAGAGAACAATGGGCTGCTTTAGGTAACTACATCCGGAAATTAGAGGTTGGCGACTCTTACCTCTAATGGACAGAACTCCTTGTCTACGGGACAGCCTTTCGTGAGGTGAGTGATTACGTGGTAATTGTGATGGAAATCGCCATGGAAAAGAATCTGAAAAAGAATCAACCTAGCACTGGAACAGCTCCGAGTCTTTCAATGCAAGTCATGTTTGGAAAAAGGTGCAAGGCGGAACAAGGACACAATCAAAGACCTATTGTTTGGTACAATATAGCCTCTGCTGCCCCATTATTTGAATTCCCGGCCAGATTTTGGCCGGATATTTTTCTCTCTGAAAGGAGTTTGATCTCCTGAACACGCGTATTACACTCGAAATACCTGAGATGTGGTATTCGTGGCTGCGTACGTCAACTAAAGGCGTCTGTCTCTGTCGAGGGAAGGACAAGATGACAGTTGTCTTAAGCTGATATATCCCACGAGTGGTCTATTCTGGTTCATCTTCAAATGACACGCCCTTTCCGTCTCAGAGATAAGGCGTGTACAACTGCTCGGCTTGAAATCGCGTGGGCTCCGCGCCATAAACACTGGCCCCAAAACACCTCAGTACATGGAGTTTCATGGAAGCTCCTCAGGAAGGGCAGTTTGACCCCGTGAACACAAACATCAAATTCGCTTACCGCGAAATCGCTGGTTCCACTCGAGGATAAAGTTCGGAAAAAGCCACCCTGGGAAAAAATAGATCAAGATGTGGCCCAAATTTAAAATCGGAGGCAGGTAAACTAAATGGTGTCAAATATTCCTCACCATCAGAATGGGGGAAAGGATATAAGTTTTGAAGTTAATTAATACTTTTTTAGTGGCAGTTTGGCTTAGTGCGAGGCACTGAGTGGTACTCATCGAGACTTTACAGGCCACTGTGCGAGGACCTGTGAACTCCCATGACCAGAGTGGCACACTTGCACCACTTCACAAAAGTTTACTGGTTGTCCTGTCACTTAAAATGAACTAACAAAGGGAACTAACAGAGTGCAAACTCCCCCCCCCTAGCTGAACAGCGCCCTTTTTCGAGGTGTGCCATACAATTTACCTACATTCGGAATCTCGGAGGTATTCTAAATGCCATTAGAACTTTACGGAGACATGGAATGGTTACCCTGTCTGTCGAACATGTTTCACTCTTCCGAACCAGTTTTATTCCAATTACTGACCCGGGGTGGTTGAAAGCCTGCTTGGAAGGGGTCAGAGTCGGTCCGAGGTTTGGCCCTTGTAGCGTGCACGCGGAAAGCGCTGACACTTGTCACTACAGCTTTTCTACCTGTAAGCTCACACTTTACAACTCTCACCCTAACAGCGGGTCCTTCTCCATCGAGTGTCCACAGTTCAATGGCCACCGACGCGGTATACTTTGGCAGCCCTCCACGAATCACTTCCGTCTCGTCACCAAATGTCGACAACAGCGCCGCAACTGTCGTGTCATGCTGAAAAACTGCTAACGCAATAGAAAAAGGAAAAACGGTATAGTTGAGAGAATCATAGAGAGAATGTCACTTAGTTGGGGATGCTCGTCCTGTAGAACTTTTTAACAGCTTCCGAATCGCTCTATGTTGACTACTTTTTTTGCTACTAATGGTTGTGAGAAAACTGTCACAGGGATTCTGACAAAACAGTCGACCAGGAGGGGGCTTGTACCCGCGCCGAGTCTACCTGTGCAGCTTTTGTCGCGGCCAACGAGTAGATCACGAGCAGTCGCGCTGTGACTGGTACTAGTATGACCCGGCCTCCACGGAAGTCGTAGTCGTGGACGAATAGACAGACCTACCGCGGAATAAGCATAGTATCTGAGAGGTTTGATCCATTTGCATTCACTTCGTTGATTGTTGTCATCGAGACAATCCTTTTTGTGAGTCATCAGATCAACGAGACTGCGGAGCATTGGTCCTAAAATCATTGATATACTCTATTTCCCCGGCGATCATAGGGGCGTGGCTACGTACGCCACTTGAACGTGGGGGCTGCTTTAGCCGAGATATTGGCGTTTGGAAGAATTGCAGCCATGTGCTTGTCTAACCTAAGGGAATACGTCAGTTTTCTTGAAGGAAAATCCCCCGCGAAAATGCACCCTACGCCGTATTCGGGTGAAGTACAAAACCAAGCCTCTTCCATCTCCAGGATATGGAGTGCAAAGATAGTGAGAGTTTATATATAACCTCGCCCTTTGATGTCAGAAAATGACGTGGACAAACACTGAAGGTTTTGTAACTCTTAAATGCTCACGACTCATCAACCGATCTCTCGAAGTAGTCAGCGAGTTACTCACCTCCTCTCAATCGGATCAGCTCAGGCTCGTATGGTTCTCCAATACCATAGTTGTACCCGTTGACTAGGGAGGTGAGATTGCGAAGTCGCCTTGAGACCTCCTGGGTCATCCATTCCGGCTGGCTCATATTGTAAATAGTCTAAAAAAAGTTGCTTAGGAGATTTTTTCGAACATTCTTGCTTGATTACCTCAATGTGATGAACGTCGTTGATAAGGAAGATGTTCCTCAAGTCAACTTTCATTCCCGTATTATTCGAAAGATAATCGAGGAAATCCTGCAAAAGGAAAGGGAGCTTGAAATTCTGAGGTTAAGCCTACGATGGCCATTACACTTTAGTGAATAGTATTTGCCTTATTGTCCTCCTCAATTTGCTTGTATTCTTTGCTGTTTCGTAGCTCCTCATCCAACTGATCAGCACGAGGGCACGGAGCGAACACATTGCCAGCCTGAACAGCGTCGACAGTGTCCCGCTATCGAAGGATCATATCACGATGAGTTTCATCTCGTAGAAAAGCTGTTCATATGGTGCTGCTGTTACAGAGGCAGCGATCTGGGGTATTTTTTGCTCCAAAAGTATATTAAAAACGACATTAGGCCGAGTTCATACTTCGCGATAGACATCTAGCGCAGGGCACATCGTTGTTGGGGAATCCCCAACAGGGGAGGGTCGTATTTGGTCGCCAGGAGGGGGTGTCGTATTTGAGCTGAGAAAAATTCTATTTTGATAGGTAATTTGCATTTCACGGATTTAAAAGGGGGGTCGTACCAACCCCCAAAAAAGGGGTCATACGAACTCGACCAAAATCCCCAACCAATGATGTGACCTGATCTAGCGCGCGACTTGAGAATCGTGCGGTCCTGGTAGCACCCCACAGGACCACTTGGACTGCTAGTTCAACTATTATTCTGAATATGATAGGACTAGCAGTTGCAGCTGTGCTAGCGGAAATGAGAAATTGTGTGTGTGTCCAAAAGAAGGCTGCTGGCACTTACATGGTCTTCGTCACCTGGAAGTGTATGCACAGGAACTGGAGTCCAACCGGTAGGCCAACTGAAATGCATGCACTACTGAAAGTGAATAGAATATGTTAACAACAAGTTCGAAAGGCTTCAGAAAAACATTATATACTTCAGAAAGCACTTGTTGCAGATGAAGAAGAGTTTATGATGTACTTCGTTAGCGCACTAACCCCCAAGAACGGTCCTTGTTATGTCCGCAGCTGCAGTAGTGTGCTACTTTCCCTCTTAAAAGTGGACGGGAATGGGCCGCGATGCATTCAAGTACTGTTCCCATACTGCGCCAGCGCTATTCTCAAGGTGCAACTTTTGTTTCGATGCGAAGGTCTCGCAACGAAACACCCACACAGGGGTAGAGAACAGTAAGAGGTGAGATAGCGCAGACAAGTAATGCGTTGACTATGACTAGGCGCCTAGCTGGCCGTGCTGCTGCGGGCGGAGTGTAGAAACAGCACCAGGGTATCACCACCTACCAGCCTCATTCTCATGCATTTTGGACCGGAGAAAGCGGCACCGTTCTCCTCACCTACGGCAAGGACTAGCAGCATGAAGGTGGTTGGTCAGTTTGTCGCTGAACCATCGACTTTCTACCATTAGTCAGAATTTATTACTCACTCTGTTTCGTTTGGGAAATCCTTCCCAGCTTCTCCACCAGCAAACATTCCGGCAATGTTGGAATAAGCAGAGATTAACGTCCGATTCACGTCTGTAGATCGAATGTATACCTACAAGGAATATAAAAAAATAATAGTGGCCAACATTGAAACGTTTTAATTAATCATGGGAAGTTGCATTGCTTTCTTTTTACCTGTTTGGGGTTATACCTCTTCTCCATGAACGGATTCGTTCCAGT